TGGTTTTGTTTTATTTTGTTTTTAATTTGTGAAAGTGCTAACGGATGTTCATTGAAAAATTTCAAACACATATTTTATTCTCTTCTTCTAAAATTAACATTTGACAAACATTGGTCAAAAAAATTTCAAAAGACTGAAACTGTATGTTGTCTGGAAGAAAAGGTAAATTTTCTATATCTTTATCAATTTATACCTTGATAATAAAACAAATGCAATATTTCTCAATTAATTAAATGAAATTGCTATAAAATGAAGCAGATCTACACTGCAGGTTAGGCACACTCTAAACTGTTCCTACATCTTTTTTTAAAAAATCTATTACTTCGATCTGAGAGAAATTGAAATTCTGATCCTGGCTAACATATAGGGCATCACAGAAGACTGCTGTTTCTACTATACTGAGAAAAAGCAAGATGATCTTCAAAATCATGGTTTCTTTTGTGAATCCAGCAAGAAACCAATGACAAAAGAAACAGAGATGAACTAAATGCCAGAAAGTGAGAGAATCTTCACAAGAGAAAAATCATCACTGTGCTCATTGCTGATAGGGCAAGACAGAGAACTCACCATGATGAGTAAACAAGGAGACTTAGCACTGCCAACTTTTAATATCTATATGTAGGACAGTGTACAATGAACCCAGTCTCTAGGGCAGGACTGCAACACTCGACAACTCTCCTCTTCTACTTGGCACACGAACAGCTGCTGAAAGAGCAGGAAGCCTGAAAGACAGACCTTCCCTCATGGCAGCCTGTGACTGCTGGAGAACAGGACTGGGGAGACAAAGCTCCCCAGTGCTTTCACCACAGGGACAGCAGCACCCAGGTTCTAGACTGAGAGAGGCCTGAAAGTTGAAGAAGTTGTTCCATGCTATCATGACAATAAGGTGTCTGTCTTAGCTGCTTGGGCTTCGGAAGTCTGGCAAAAACAGATTTTTTAGGAAGGAGTCTGGAGGGAGGACAGGATAACAAAAGGAACTATCTGGTGACCCAAAGAAAAATCAGTAACTGGTCTATAAAGCAATGGAAATCTCATGAAGGCTCAGATCTTAACCTGTCCTGAGGAGAAATACACGATCCATCTGCAAAAGCTCTGATGTCAGTGATCAACTGAATCAAAGAGAAAGCAAACTCAGTTTATCTACATATTAACTCAGCTCACCTCTCACTGGAGTTGTCAAATAGAAGAAAGATCGTGTATTATTGTGAGAATATTATTTACTTTAGTCCTTTAATACAATGCAAAACATACAACAAAAACTTGTAAGAAACAAAAGGAAGAAAAGGTGATCAATAGTCAAAGAAAGAAACAATCAAAACAAGAAGACAGGAAAAGTTCCAAATGTCAAAATGATCAGACATAAATTTAAAATATCTATGACAAATATTCTACTCCATACATTTTGAAAGTCAGTCAACAGATGTGAACAGAGAAATTTCATCAAATTGACTGGGAATTTATAGTTTTAAAAAATCTGTGCAATATTGGAAAAATATTTTCAGATGTATACACTTATAAAAGAAATAACAGAGTGAAAAGTAATCAGTGAACTTGAAGACAGATTAAAAGAAATTATTCAGATTAAAAGGGAAGAAAAACCAGGGTGTAAATAAAATCATAAATAAGATTAAGCTTAGCATGTCTGCACATAAGTTTGATTTCTGATTCATGCTCTATAAAACAATATTAAATTAACCTAGTCTGTCTCTAACTGAATTCCCTGAACAAGATGAGAATGAATGAAGCAAAAAAAAGTTTGAGAAAATAATTATTGACCATGATCTAAATTTGATATAGCAAATCTACTCAGAGATTCGGTAAACCATGAAAACCCACACAGAAATAAAAAAAAAAAAAAAGTATACCTACATATACCAAAAACAAAGGTAAAAAGAGGTCAAAAAAAGGGGCTGAAGGTATTGTTCAGAGGGGTACTGACAAAAGCCATACATATAGTAGAACAATGGTATGAATGATATTTAGTTTCTCATCAGATATAGAGAGTCTAAAAGACAGTGAAACATAGGAGACAGTGCTGAATATTTACACTTGTATAAACCCTCCTAGTGAAAAAGCATGTCTATGTTCATACAAGTAGCAAAATACTTGTGAACCAGCTAGATATTTCAGCAGACTAAAGTGCCAGCTTGGGCAAGCTTAGGCAAGTGGAGGGACCTCAATTCCATCCCTGGCTCCACATGCCACATCAGACAACCCCCAGGGTGGAATGAGCCGGCCAGAGTTTGGGCAGTCCTAGTGGCACATGCTTGTAATCCCAGCTCTGGGGAGGCTGAAAACAGGAGGATCACTATAAGTCTGAGCTGTGTAGTGAGACCCTGTAACAACAAAATACATTTTTAAAAATTGCAAAGTAATTTAGCCCAAAGTGAGGGATTAACTAGAAGGAGACCTAAAGACACCTCCATGACAATAGATGTGACCTTGCTTTGGGTTGTAGTGACATGGCTGTATACCATTGTCAAAACTCATGAACATTGCAGTTTTAAGTATCAGTTACACTTCCACAAACTGTTAGAAAGCTAATAGAGATGTAAATATCTTTAAACAAAAGACATTATTGATCATGGAATCTAGAGTTAAACCCTAAATAAGATCAAAGACAAGTCTGTCACAATCCCGAGTAGCAGACAAATGTTTTGATCAGCATCCATTTCCAGCATGAATGGGTGCCCAGGATGCAGGACCACCTCCCAGCAAGTCTTTTGTAAGAACCCCACCCCCATCAGACTTACTACTCTGCCTGGTGGAAAGGTAGATTCTCAAGGAATTTCAGTATCAGAATGATGAGGGGGAGGGATGTACTCACAAGAGAGGCTGGTAAATTTAATAGGTGAGTATATTTCTATAATGACTATTTGCCTAGGGAAAAAACTCCAGAGGTGAATTTATAATGTCAAAAATTCACAAGAATAATAGGTAACATGAACAGTGTGTAAAGCACTAATCAGCAAATAATGGTACCTCTAATATATTGTATAATCTAGCAAGAATGCAGTGATTGCATTCTAACACAATCATGTAAATATTTACTTTATTAACTTTACCTGGTTTAATTATACAGAACTTTTATGTGTATAATGCATTTAAGTTCAAAAATGCAAACATATTTTATTGGTCAACTTTTCCTGTTCTGAGACAAAATACCTGACATTCACACCTCATAAGAAAAGAGATTTACTTGAGTCATAATTTCAGAGTCCAGTCTGTAGTCAACTGACTCCAAGCAGAAATGAAGAAACAAAAAGGCCTGAAGGAGACAGCTGTCCAACACACAGGATTTAGGAAGCACAGAGAGCAGAGAGAGCCAGAGGGGACCCATTCCCGCAAAGACCAAACCTAGGGACCTTCCTTCTACAAATGCCCCCACGTCACAGCCAGCTGTGAACCTGTCAATGGAAGAACCTACTGATGAGCACAACACCCACATTCAAATCAACTTCCGAATGCCACCTGTAGGACTGGGGATATAGCTTAGTGGCATAAGTGCCTGCTTGGCAAGCGCAAGGTACAGAGTTCGATCCCCAGTACAAAAAAAAAAAAAAAAAAAAAAGCCTTCTCCTTCTCCCTTTCATGACATTACAAAAACCAGTGAGTATATGGCCACTAAAACACCAAATGCCACCTCTAAACACAGGAGACCTTAAGGTACTTAGAGCTAAATCATAACGTATCTTTTCAAGAAAATACATCATTTTTATTTTGAAACTTGGTACCTACCATAAATAGTGTCCATTTTCACCTAGCCTCATAGAATACTTGATATTTGTTGTCCTACTGCACCCCACACAGAAGGGACAAGTACATTACTGTGGAAATGTGTCTCACATTCACCTATAGTCATCCAGTTTTAGCACATCTCTCAAGAGTAAAATACTTATTTACAGTGAGTCCTAATGTGTCTTGAAGGGGTGAGTGTTTGTTTTGTTGTGTTAAAACATAAAAGCTAACAAACTAAATTTACCCAGTCTTGAAACAAGTTAATTGAAAACTTAAGGTTTAATTATATCTTTTTCTTGTTCTCTGCCTCTCTTTTTTTCTGCCTAAAAAATAGCAAAGCAGTAAATGAAGCCATACATATTCATTTTTCTCAAAAATGTTGTGAGGTGGCTATTTTCTATTGCTTTAGAATCATGCTAGAACTGACTTTTGCTTTGATCTTTGTTCCTCTTACTGTGAGTACTCACAGTTCTGCCTCTAATAATGCCACAGCTATTAAACTTATGTGTTCCTTCCATCTTATTTTTGCAGTTAGGTGTGAAAGTGTAGAATAATAAAACATCACTCACCAGCATGTGCTTTGCTTCGCTATTGAGGTAGCAGTTTACTTTCATCTTATGGTTTTGCAGCTAATATGCCTTTCAGTTTCTAATCATATGTCATTATGAAATTCAAAGTCTAAAACATTGATATTAAAGTTCTAAATCCTGACATAAACTTCTGCACTGAAATTGCTTCTAAAAGTGCTCATCTGTATTTTTTGTTGTCTTTTGCTTTTGAAAGAGACATTTTATATCAAAATCTAGCATAACCCCTCCAGAAATTTCATGTTTATGTAAAATTCAAAAGTAACCAAACTAGGCATGGAAGTAGAAAACACAAAATGGTTTTGTAGATGAATTTATATGATTTTTATATTTAGTTCAGCTAAAGAGGAGATCCATTCAAATTGCATAATTATAGCATAATGTTTTTGATTGGCTTTATATTTAAGAGACTGATGTTGCTTTCTAAGTCAAACTTACCCCACCAATAAGATAGTCATTAATAAGACTAATAGCCTGTATATATTTTAAGATGAAAAGTGGAGGGAAACGATCCCACATTGCTGAAAACACTGAAGGTTTATTATGTCCAAATATATACTAAAGTCTGCTCTGCATGGTGGTGATTATTTTCAGGACTAGGTTGCACTTGACTATTTTAAGGAACTGCAGGTACAATGAAAGCATATTAAACATTAGCATTTCCTATGCTTTCAGATATCCATGGCAATGAACTCCCAACTCTTCTCCACTGTGCTGCGAAGTTTGGCTTGAAGAACCTGGCTCTTCACCTGCTCCAGTGTGCAGGAGCAAGCTGGGCACTGAAGATGAGAGATGCAAGTGGAGCAGACCCCGCTCACATCGCTAGCAAGTACGGGCATGAAGAACTCATGAAAATCTTAGAAGACTTTTCAGTAAGTTTGCTTTATGCCTCAAAAACTCCTCATGAAGTCTGGGTGTATATATGTGCACATACTCTTTTTGGTTAACTAAGACTATTGCACAACTAATTCACAGAGTCTATAGCTCTTGGGTTGTCCACTGTGTTAAAAAGAATTTTGTAAATTAGTCCATTTGTTCTAATGTTGCCATAAATTCTGATTTCTATCCTTAAACATTCATGTTTGAAACTTATCTGGTATTTCTGGCTTCTGTATCACCTATTTGGTATTGGAGAAGAGTCAGGCAGAAAGCAATACCCCTATTCCCTTTACTCTTTTGCTTAAGAGTCTAGATAAGACATTACTAGGCATGTGAAGACAGATCAGCAGTTACTAGGCTAAAGGAATTCATTTTGATAATCATTCAAAAAGTCTACCCAGTAAAAAGTTAATCTATTCTACTTAAATTTATTTCTCTTATTTTATCTTTCTTTTCACTGAAAATGTCAGTTCTTCATTGCTTGTGTTGAAACCTCAAGTTTCAGAACACTCTGATGGATATGAGTTTGTGAGAATGTAATGAAGAGAATATTTTAGCAGAGAGGGTGCTTCAGTAAGTAAAACAAATGTGAATCGCCATAAACAAGTTTAGAACAGACATTACATTCTGTTAATAAGAAAAGTATGCACGTTTCTCTCCAGAAAGTGAATTATACTTCGGTGGCTCTTCAGAAAGTGTAATATGACAACAATTATATTCATGACTTTGCCAGAACTTATCTTTGGATTCTCAGAACAGATACAATTGCATTCCCAATGAGCAATTAATACAAGATTATTTGAGCATTTATTTTGATTATCAGATTAAATTGATCTAATGTGCAACTTCTAAAACCATTGGTATTTGTAATTTTGAGAAAGCAAAAAGACAATGAAACTGCATTTATATAAAATAGTAAAACAGTAATCAAGAGACTATAGGTATTAGTCACTTTCTGATTATATATATATACATTTCATATTTGAAATAAGTACAGTATATACAGTGTTTTAATAAAATTAGTTAAGTACTAATTTCTAGTTTATGTCTTTAAGTTAGAAGTGAACATTGTTTTTATTTCTCATATGATTTTAATAGTGGTTCTCAGGTATGCTAGTGTTTCGCTGTTCTAGTTCATCTGATAAGCCCTTTCAATTTAGTAATTCTCTTCTTTTATAGTCAATGTGGCATCTCTCAGAGGTAAGTCAGTGAGTCTACTCAGCTTTGAACTTTTTCCCATAATGCTGTCATTCAGTAGATCAAGGTCCCCAACTCTTTACAAATCTAACTAACTTTAAATCTTTGGTGGACTTAATTTTTTCCTTAGATTCTCAGCAGCAAATAAGTTTCCTCTGACTTTCTAAAATAAACCCTGATTTTCAAGGAGTAATTCCTTCACTTCTTGCCCTCCAGGAAGGATGAATGGATGCAGCCCTATCTACACTGTGGGTGCCCTAAGTAACACAATATTACACAATGGTAACAGTGGACATGAAAGAAAACATGAGGATAGGAGATGAGGATGGATGGACCTAGGAAATCATTTTTCTCTTGTGTACTCAGGGTGCTTAGACTTCTGCTGCTATAGTTGCAGCAGTGACAGTGGCTGTCTCTGTTTCTAAGTGATTCTTCACTGCTCATGGGACATTCTTCCTGACTTTGCCAAGCCTTATGCAGTCCTTATTCTGCCAAATTTGTTAAGTGATTTCCTATATCCCAACCTAAGCTGTTAACGTTTAGCCAGAATTATATGTGTTTGCACTGTCATGTGGCTAGGTGTTCATCGGGGACGTTTCTGCTCTCACCTTTGGCAAAGGTCACAGCAGATCTTTAAATACTTTTTAATAGCTGGAGTTGAAGAAGTAGTAATTTTCAGGCTATGAAAGACCTTTTTGAAAATGTATGGTTAAAAATAGAGACATACTAGTTCATAACACACATGGAAGCATTTTTTTGCTGACCTCCCTACCCATAAATCATCTTCCTAGATAGTAATTTTCTTTAAAACAAATCTAAAAGTTGTATCTTCTTGATGAAGGTATATCGGATAATCATCTGTTGTACTGTTCTTAGTTATGCAAATAATGTCTTTTTAAGGTACATATAAACCTAGTAGAGAAAAACTGTGAAACCTTAATATGCTGCTACTTTATTGCTTTTTAGTAATTAACACCTACACTAATGGATTTAACATATTTATGTTAGTGTAGATGTTAATAAATCTAGATTTTAATAAATCTATGTGATAAATAAAAGATTTTCACAGGCACATTGAAAGTTTTCATGAACTATTCTTTCAGAAATGCTGAAAGAATGATAACTCTTTCGAGTTTGGAGCTGGCAGTCCACTTGTGGACCACACCATTTTGATGAAGTATCTATTTTTAGCCTCATGCCTATTTTGTCCCTGACTTAGTGATTAGTTCAATTCGTCCTAAGTTCCCCGTAATGAAGCATTGTTCATTTCAGGGCCTTACATTACAGTTCAGTGAATTGGATCATAACTTGAGTGGGAAGAAAAAGCTAGTTGTAGTTTTAGAAAAATGCAGGAAAAGCTTTATTAAGTATTCATAAGCCAAGAGCACCAATAACTGATGCAATTCATGCAAAGGAAAGGAAAAGGAAGTGGAAAAAGATTTCTCAGATCTCACTTCTTCCATAGCTTCAAGTCATTCACTTTTGAAAACTAAATAATGTATATGTAGTCTGTGAACAGAGCCTGTTCATTGTGATATATTTCATTTGTGACATAGTTGCTATGTGACACCTGTATTTCTTTCATGGATTTGGTACTATAACCAGTGAGGATACCATATGTTTCTACAATCTAAAGAATCTTTCAAGTATCTACTCACTTTTCCAGTTTCTCACAGTGTCTTCTCTGAAAACCAATATAAAGGGATGAAAGGTGAAACGTAAATATTCAACCAGCATGTAGCACACTTGGGCTAACATAAGAACTGAGGAAATCCCAGGCAATTTCAAATAGCAACAACAATGGTTCATTTGGTTCTTTAAAAACTTATCTTTTAAATAAAAAAAAACTATAAAGAAATTAGAACTTGGCCTCAGATTAAAAGGTACAATGATATTTAAGATAAAATATAGAACATCCATTGTTTATATATTTTAAGCAAAATAATATCAGTGTTATATCTGCGTTTTTGTCTCAAGCATGTCACCCTACTGTCTCCCACTGGTTTAAAATGCTGAATGGAAAGAGAGCATCCATGTGTAAATAGAGCCTGAGACTATATCCTCCTCCTTGTACTAACTTCTCTGGGTAATAACATTCATAAAACTTTTTTTCCTTTCACTTATGTAACAATGTAAATATCAATAAGATATTAATTATAAAATTCTTAAAGAAAATTTAAGACAGGAAAAGTTGTTTTCTGTGTCCTTTCACTACCTGGCTTTTAGAGAGGATTCCTGGCCTGGGACCCTTTTATTGCTCACATCTATAAGAGATTCTTGTACCTCTCCTTTCCTTGAAGTTCTGTGCATTTGTCTTTGTGTGTAAAGGGAAAGACAGAGAGATATAGAGACACACCCAGGGGGTGCTGTGTCTCCTTAGTGTCCTACTGATCTTTGCCGGATTGTCAAAGGTTGAAGGGCTGTGAGGTTTGGGGGTAGCAGACATGGAAGGATTCACAGAACCCCTAATAGAGAGTGATAATTGACTGACTGGTTCCAAGAGCTATTCCCAGAAGTTGGCCCTGTGTGTACAGTGAGCTTTCCCTCATCCCTTTATTTCTACCATTCTGGCGTTGTTCATTTGTGCTCTGTGTCTACTGCTGCGTTCTCCATCCTGTACAGTATGTGTTGTGATGCACAGCAGAGTGTGGACAGCACATCCCGTGTCACCCAAGTGAGTACTTTCCTGTTCATAGCCACAGTGGTTCCCAGTAAGTATTGGGCTGCCCTCTCCTCTCCTAGCCTTGCCTTCCCTTGGTGAGAAACAAGTATTCAACTTAAGTATCTGTTTTCTCTTGCTCCATAGTTTCCTGAATCAGATTGGATATGACAAATGAGATAAGTGGCCATACTGTTTAAAAGCGTTAGTTTTAGGGAATCCATGGACAAACAGGCCAGCTTCTACTTTCAGCATGCATTTTTAATCAGCCAGACTACAGTGCATGTTAGAATTCTGGCTGTGCTCAGTATTGATGTTCTGCTAGGATTGGAGGAACAGGAACAAGTCACATAACTGCCCTTGGCAGATCCATTACAAATTCATGTCTTTGTTGTGCTGCAGAAGCTACTTGGCAATGCCTTCTAAAATCCTATTAAAAGCACCATGGTGGCTATTACAGAATTTTGCTATACCCCAGTTCTCAGACTCAGTTTCAATATCTCTACCTGCAAGCCCTCCAAGTCTTCTGTGAGCTCTCCTTTCTCTTTTCCTTGTCAAATTTTCCAGTGCACATTCTCACACACAGACACATTTCATACATGAATATTGTTTAGGTATACATAAATTGCTCTGCATGTACATATATTTTTGCTTTTAAATATATATATATTATTGTTTATGGTAAGCAGTTTTACACTAGATCCTTATACTAAGTTGTATGAATAGGTAATTTTACTTCTATTTTACAGATCAGGAAATTAAACTCCAAAGAAAATGTTATTTTCCTATAATCAGACAGTAGATTTATTATCTAAAATCAGCTATTTTCCATCTAATGACTCCTAAACTATTTTTGCATGCTCCAGCTTTACTTAAAATTGAATACAACTAACATCTTATTTCATTTACCTTCAATATATGTACTCTGATAATACAATATATCTACAAATCTATGTACTGTTACAATATACAAAAAAAAGTCATTATGAGCATTAGAACCAAGAAGTTAAAGAGAGAGTCCCATCCACATATGAATAAGTAGGTATCTAGCTGGGGATATAGCTCAGTGTCATCAGCACTCACCTGACAAGCACAAGGTCCTGGTACCGCAAACACACACACACACACACACACACA